GGACCAGGTGTGCTGGTCTGATGGAGCCTGGTGGAAACACTGAGACTAAGGCCCCTAGCTGCCCTTCAGTGTGGAATTGAACCCACTCCTGTGGCTTCTAACCAAACAAAGACAGGCATAGGAGTTGAACATGTACCTGAGGTAGATACACTCCTTGGAGAGAACAATCATGGGAGAAAGAAGGGCTGTGTGCGAACAGGGAGACAGCTCAGGGGGCAGGAGTGCATGGAGGGATGGACACAGGGAAAAGGTGACTATGGGGAGGAAGTGGGAGGGGAGCTGTTGCATTGTGAGAAATTACAATCAGTGTCATGAGACAAAGTATATGTGAGCTGTTGTATGGAAAGTGAATTTGCTCTGTAAACTTGCACTGAAATCATAATAAATTTTTTTTTGAAAAGTCACGGCCTTGAAAACCCCGTGGGCAGTTCTGCTCTGCACACGTGGGGTCGCCGGGGTGAGAGTGGCCTTGAGTGCCCAGCAACGGGAACAGCCACGGTTCGCGGTTTGCCGTGCATCCTGCCTGGTTTCTTACGTTCTGTGGTGTTCAGGTGCAGGTGCTCCTGTTCGTTTCCTCTTGGCTTTTTCCAGTCTGCACCGTACCATGCACATTTCCCCGTAACACCAAGGAGTGTCTGCAAACCCCACTGTACTGGCTGCACCTCCATTGGACATACCAGACCTCAGCCCCCATGTGAGACACGAAGGGGCTGCATTCCCCTTCTCAGGCCACTATAAATAATGCTGTGGGGCACGTCCTCTGCTGGAGCTTCGTCCACCCCTGTGGTTGACGTGCATTTTCAGGACCAGGGCACTTTGCCAGACTCTTTTCCTGGCGGCTCTACTGGGTATATGGCCCCTGCTGGGTGCATCTCTGTTGAGCGCATCTCTGTTGAGCATCTCCAGGGCGGGCCCTGCCTCCTGTGCCCCTGACTTCCCGGCCTGTCTCTCCATAGACTGAGAAGGACATCCTGCTACGGCCTGAGCTGGAGGAACTGAGGAACGAACATTCCGCTCGTTTCAAGCTCTGGTACACGTTGGACCGGGCCCCAGAAGGTGAGTGAGGGGAACCCCGGTGGGGAGGGGTGAGGTCAGGTGGGAGGCACTGGCCCCAGCTCACCTGTATTGAGTCCATCCTGGTGTTGAGCCTTTTGCTTCCATGGTCTCACTCGGGACACCGTGAGAAGGGCCCTGTCTTGGTCATATGCAGGTGATGCAACAAATACCAGATGGGAGTGGCTCTAATGAACAGAAATTTATTTTCTTCTGGTTGAGGAGGCTGTTGTTGCTGTTGTTGTTGTTAAGTGCTGTCAAGTCAGACCCGACTCATAGCGACCCCTCCTTGGGTTTCCGAGGCGGTATCACTACGGAAGTAGATTGCCCAACCTTCCTTCCAGGGGGAGGAGGCTAGAAGCCCAAATTTAGGGAGCCAGCTCTCAGGGCAGGTCCTTGTATCTTTGAGCTTCTGTTCCTGAGTAGTCTTCATGTGACCTGGCCTCTCCTCCCCCATCTCTGCTTCTCACTGCTTAGTTTCATGTCTTTTATATCTCATAAGATATTGACTTAAGACACACTCTCCTCTAATCCTGCCTCATTAACGTAAGAGATTATAACTGCTGGTATAAACCAAAACCAAACCTACTGCTGTCAAATCAGTTCAGAGTCGAACTGGCCCACAGGGTTTCCAAGTCTGTAAATCTTTATGGAGGCAGACTGCCCTGTCTTTCTCCTGCGGCGTGGCTGATGACTTGGATCCATTGACCTTTTGTCTAGCAGCCAAATGCTTTAACCACAGCGCCACCAGGCTCCATGCCACAGGTGTAGAGGTTAGGTTAGGATTTACAACACAGGTCTTTCAGGGACACAATTCACTCCATAACAGGCCCTGAGTCCACTGGCCCATGTACTGCTCCACACCGTCAGGAGGGCTCAGAGAGGGCTGTGAAAACACCACCACCAGGTCTCACACTCATGTCTTCCGCCCGCAGAGCCCAAGGCCTTCCCCAGCCCACACACTGCCCGCCGCTGGGTGGAGACAGCCCCGTGCTCCTCCTCGGGCTGAGGCCCACCTCAGGGCAGGGTCTCTGGCGGCACTGCTGATGGGGGCAATTGTTCCCACTTCGTGGTTGCGTGCTGTCAGTTGATTCCAATTCCTAGTGGCCCTATGGGACAGGGTAGAGCTGCCCCATGGGGTTTCCGAAGCTGTCAGCTTCACGCAATCAAATCACCAGGTCTTTTCTCCCAAGGAGCAGCTGTGAGTTTGAATGATAACCTTTCTGTTAGCGGCCGAGCCCTTAACCAGTGCGCCAGCAGAATGTTTTTTGCACCATTTCAGTCAAAAACCCAACTCAGCCATCGAGTCAATTCCGACTCATAGTGACCCTCATCAGGTTTCCAAGGCTATAAGTCTTTACAAAAACAGACTGCCTCATGGTTCTTCCACAGAGCAGCTGGTGGGTTCGAACCACCAACCTTTTGGTTAAGAGACAAATGTCTTAACCACCACACCACCAGGGCCCCTTTTGTACACTGTAGGGTACCATAATCCGTTTCTCTCCCATCATCAGCCTGGATGGTGGGCCGGCCAGGCATGACCAGCACCCTCATCTGCCTATCCAGGGGGTGGGGCTCTTTGCTGAGGTCACATGGTGAGTTTGAGGAGGAGCCAAGGCCACTCAGGAGGCAGGGAACTTAAATTAGGGTGCCCCCTTGGAGTGACCCCATCTTTCTTTCTCCTCACTTTGGTAGGGACAGGGCACAATGAACGTCTTAGTTTCTTTCTGTAAGAAAAGCCGCACTTCCAGTTTCCTGCTGGGTGATGCAGGGCCATTGGGTTTGGGTCAGGAGACACCTGTGAGGAGTAGTGGGGACTGTGGCAAACTGGGGAGTGGCTGCCTGCAGCTGGCCTGTTATGTGGGAACATGGCCTCACGTAGCCCGGCCTGTCCGCTTTTCAAGAAAAGCTGGGATCCTGAGTTTTCCTGGGAAACTTTTCAATGATGGAAGCTAGAAATTCTGAAGCACCACGTGGGCCCACACTCGGAAGGAAGGTTGGGCATCTACTTCCATAGTGACACCACCTTGGAAACCCAAGGAGGGGTCGCTGTGAGTCAGATCCGTCTCGACAGCAGTGAGGTGTTTTATTTATTTATTTTTTTTTAATGTGGGCCCATAAGCACCAGCCTGCAGGCTGCTAGTCACCCGGTTACACCTGCCTTCAACCAGCCGTAGGTCCCCAGCCCACAGTGGGGGGCACCTCATTGCTGACATGGGGGCTCTGTTCGTACCATGCTCTGCTACCCCCGGAAGGAATTTGCGGGCTCCAGGGGCCAACTCCCATCTCGGGAGCTGGGTCATCAGGGTCGTACCTGTGTTGGGGTCTGGGCATCCGTGGATATCTGCCCCGCCTCTGGCCACATGGGCCAGCCATCTGAGCTCACAGCCCTGCTCTGAGCCTCTGTCCTGTGTGTCCACGAAGCCAGCTTGGCTTCTAGTCCAGGCAAGTAGCAGGCAGTTAGCGGGTTAGTTTGTGCATTAAAGAACCTGGAGCAGATGCTGGAGGCGGGGACAGGGGTACGCAGCTGGGGCCAGGAGAGGGAGGCGGGGACAGGGGTACGCAGCTGGGGCCAGCAGTGGGAGGCGGGTATAGGGGTACGCAGCTGGGGCCAGGAGAGGGAGGTGGGTACAGGGGTACGCGGCTGGGGCCAGGAGAGGGAGGTGGGTACAGGGGTACACAGCTGGGTCCGGCAGTGGGAGGCGGGTATAGGGGTACGCAGCTGGGGCCAGGAGAGGCAGGTGGGTACAGGGGTATGCGGCTGGGGCCGGCAGTGGGAGGCGGGGACAGGGCTATGCGGCTGGGGCCGGCAGTGGGAGGCGGGGACAGGGCTATGCGGCTGGGGCTGGCAGTGGGTTGGGGGCACTGGCTCTCAGTCAGAGTTGCTGTTTGGTAAAGAAGCTTTGAGCACATGACTGTGGCTGGATCGAAAAGGCGCAGTGCGGCATGGCTTAGCTCTGCTCCCGGTGCCCTCTTTATGGTGTGGTTAGTGTGACACTGAACCCTGATGGGAACGTCCTTTGGGGGCCTGTGGGCTGCCAATGGAAGGTCCTGGCCAAGCGGGAGGGGTGCCGACAGTGACCCCTGGTGGTGGTGTGCAGTGAGGCCGAGACCAAAGGTCACCCTCTGCGGGCTGCTTTCCTGACCTCTCCAGGCCGGTGAGCGGTAGGGTCGACTCGTCCCCCGGCCTTTCACCCTCACACTGTTACATCCTGACCCACAGTCAAGAAGCATCGAGGCAGGCGTTGCTCTGGCATTAGGTGGTCGAGGGTGTTAGGGACCATCGAGTCGGGCCCGACTCACAGCAGCGCTGTGCACAGGACAAAACCCTGCCAGTCCTGGTCCGTCCTCACGGTCCTTGCTGGGCTTGAGCCTGTTGTCGCAGCCACCGCGTCAGTCCATCTCGTTGAGGGCCTTCCCCTCTTTTATCAACCCTCCACCTTACCCAGCATGATATCCTCCAGGGAATGGTCCCTTCTGACAACATGACCAAAGTAGGTGAGACGAAGTCTGGCCATTCTCACTTCCAGGGAGCATTCCGGCTGCACTTCCTCCAGGACAGATCTGTTAGCTCTTTTAGCAGTCCATGGTACTCTCCACATTCTTCGCCAGCACCACCACTCAAAAGCACGGACTCTTCCTCAGTTTTCCTTATTCGTTGTCCAGCTCTCACACGCATATAAAGTGATTGAAGACACCATGACTTGGGTCAGGTGCACCCTAGTCTTCAAAGAGACATCTTTGCCCTTTAACACCTGAAAGAGGTTTTTGCAGCAGATTTGAGCATAGTATGTTGTCTGATGTGTTGACTGCTTCTTCTTTGAGCACAGCATTAGGTACGAGTGGAAATTCTAGACCTAAGCGAAGGAATTGCTAACAGGCCAGTGGAGGTACAGGGTGGATGGCTGGAACCCTGGGCAAAGGCAGGCAACCGATGTCTCCCAGCACAGCCGCTTTGGATGAGGAAATCTCTGGTGTCTAATGACGTTCCGCCGAACCTTGAGCTGTGTCTTGCACGCCTGCCCTTTTCACTCACCAGCAAATGTGATCTAATCTCATAGAACTTTTTGCAAAGTACGGTCCGTTCTGTTACCAAGTGCAAAACGTCCATGCCCTGTCCTGCTCCAGAAGGGATTGGAGGCAGCTTCTGGAGACTCTGTCAGTGAGTCAGAGTGGAATAACTGGAGAGTGGGAGTAACGGAAACAAGGGCAGGTCCATGGAATGGATCCGGGGTGGTTTCTGCACAGACACGTGGAGTGTGCTGCACACCTGCCTGGGATGGGCCATGCATAATCCTCAGAGCTTCCCAGCAGCCACGGTGGAAAGGGAGATGGCTCATGGTGTACTTGTTCAGTACAGTAGGTTCTTCCTGGTCTTGGTCACCTGGGACCATCTTGGCCGCCCCTCCCCTGAGGCCCCCACGGGGTGGGCACAGTGTGATGCTGTGAGTGTCGTCCATCTAGGCAAGGACCCTTGGTGTTAGTCAGCTCTCTCCTCACCATGGACTTCTCTTGGTGTCAGCGGCTCTTACGGTTGCAAGGAACAGACCCTCTTGGGTGTTCAGGGCTGGGGGGACCCGATGGGGATAGGAACCCGGAGAACCCTAGGTGTCTCTGACAGGAACCCGTAGGCAGGCATTGGTGACCCGGCATCCCTCCATCTCAGTCCTTTCATCTTTGCTGCTCCTGCCTCCAGCTCCTCCCCACACTCCCATGAGGCTCTGCTCCTGCCCCTGGACCCCTGCCTTCTGCCTCTCTAATCCCCCCACCCCATTGTACCTCCAGGGCCGAGTGTGAGGGCAGCCAGCGGGGTCGGTCATCCTGTGCATGGGCAGTGCTCGGGGGCTGGTAGGGTCTGGAGGAGGCAGCATTCCTCTGGGGGGGGGGGGGAGTCACGTGTGCAGCGGGTCGTGGGCGTTTCCATGTCTGTCTGGTCTGCCGTTCGTCTGGGACTGAGGCGCTCAGTGCAGGTGGCCTGGCATGTGTCCCTCAGTCCCCAAGTATTGCTTCCCCCACCTGAACACTGAAGAGCCCACAAAGGACAGTCCCCTGACAAGTGTTCTTCTCAGAAAACATTTGAATCCTCTCAGGGCCAAGATGATAACTTCCCTCCATGACCTGAGTCTTTTGGTTTGGTGTCTTGTAAGGCCTAAGGAAGCTGAATGCCCAGGTTGGGCACTGGCGGGGAATCCCGGGACCTGAGTTCACGTCCCAGCTCTGTCCTTGTCCCATCATGGGACCCTTGATGACTCTGGTCCGCTCCGGACCTCCATTTCCTTATCTATAAAATGGAATCATTGGCCTCATCTGCCCACGGCTGGTTCTGAGGGCCACCCAAGAGGTCACATAGAAGCAAAAGGCTTTGCAAACTGTGAAGTCGGTGAGGGGGACCAAACAGGACTTGCTGTGAGGCCTGAAACCCCGGGCGTGTGGGTGAGCCGGGCTGGGGCAGTGGCAATGGACAGGTGGATGGTGTGGGTTGGTCACCTGGCTGCTCGGGCTCACCTGGCCTCTCGCCTGCAGGCTGGGACTACAGCCAGGGCTTCGTGAATGAGGAGATGATCCGAGACCACCTTCCGCCCCCGGAGGAGGAGCCGCTGGTGCTGATGTGCGGGCCGCCCCCCATGATCCAGTATGCCTGCCTGCCCAACCTGGGCCGCGTGGGCCACCCCAAGGAACGCTGCTTTGCCTTCTGATGGGGGGTGCCTGCCGCCCGCCCATGCACTCACCACGCGCCCGTCCCCCCTCACCCCACCATGCCGTAATTCTCCCAGCCCTACTCCCTCAGATCTGCCCACGTCTGCACCCGGGCCTGGGTTCAGCCTGGCCTGCCTGGGCCCTGGGTGGCCACCTGCTGGGCTGGCCCCTGCGGCACCCCATTGGAGCAGGGCCCTGGTTTGGGTGGGTGCCTTTCCAGCCATTGCACACAGAGAGAGACCACACGCGCGTGCACACACACACACACACTAACGCGCACACACTACAGGACAAGGCTGCTAGCACCACGCTCCCCTGTACCCAGCAGGGACCCGATTCTTGAAAGGAAGGTGAACAGACTGGCAGCTTAGGTGGCAGAGGCCACCTTAGCCACCTCCTGGTGGCCAAGAACTGCCAGCCCGAAGGCCCAGAGGGGCTGGGCCTGTGCCAGACCACCAGGAGGCTGGGACCTGGCGCTGCAGGAGACACGCCACACCAAACAGTCCTCTGGGGTGGGGGGCAGCTGCTGGGGCCAAGGGACAGCCTCCCACTCCTACCTGGGGCCTACGCAGGCCCCGACCAGCGGAAGTGAGGCTCTCTGGGAGCTGGTGTGGGAAGAGGGTGCTGGCCGAGGGCCCCCCAGGCCGGCAGGATCAGAGCTTTTGGCATGATTGCTTTGGGCACCTGGGTTCCTGGGCGGGGTCATCAGCCCGATGGCACAGCTAGGACGTTTATTTATGACTCTGTCCTAAGCCCGCCTCTCCCCGCCAGCCCTCCTCTGATGTCGGGGAGACCTTGAGCAGTGCCTCTGTCCGGGTGACTTGCAGACACTCGGTGGCCGCGAAGTTGCCTTCAGACAACAGCTGTGCTCGCTTCCCGCAAACCAGCTTTGTCAGTTATTTACGAGCAGAAAACAATTGAAGTAAAACTTTGCTGATGGCAACCCCGATGCTGTGTGCGGTCTGCGTTGAGGCTTGCCAGCGGGCCGCGCCCGGCAGCTGCTTCTGACGCCCTGTTTGTGTTTGTGGTGGAAAATCTGCAAAGTGTGGAAAAGTATAAACCAAAAACCAAACCCACTGCCATCAATTCGATTCCGACTCATAGTGACCCTTCCTTGGGTTTCCGAGGCAGTGTCTCTATAGAAGTAGGTTGCCCAGTCTTCCTCCTGAGGAGTGGCTGGTGGGTTTGAACTGCCAACCTTCTGGTTAGCAGTCAGATGCCTTTGGCACTGTGCCACCAGAGCTCCTTATGGAAAAGTACACCAGAAAACAAAAGCCAAACTCACTGCCATTGAGTCGATTCCGACTCACAGTGATCCCCGTTGGGTTTCCAAGGCAGTAAATCTTTATGGAAATAGATTGCCCCATCTTCCTTCTACAGAGCAGCCGGTGGGTTTTAATTGCCAACCTTCTGGTTAGCAGTCAAATGCCTTAGGCATTAAGGCTTTGTTTTTGTTTTGTGTTATGGAAAAGTATACCAAAAAAAAAAACCAAACTCACTGCAGTTGTTTTTTCTGACTCATAACGACCCCTCCTTGGGTTTCTGAGGAGGTAAATCTTTACAGAAGTAGATTGCCCAGTCTTCCTTCTGAGGAGTAGCTGATGGGTTTGAACCGCCAGCCTTCTGGTTAGCGGTCAGATGCCTTAGGCGCTACACCACCAGAGCTCCTATGGAAAAGTACAGGCATTTAAAAAAAAAAAAAAAATGCCACTCACGCTTCTTCGGGACAGCTAGTCACCAGCATGGCGTCACTGACCAGGCACCAAGGTGGCTCTCAGCTGATGAGTTAGTGTGTCCCCTCTGGTGGGGCATTGAGGCTGTTTCCAGCTGCGGATTTTATACAGTGCAGCCAGCCCCTCCACCTCCACCCTCTGCTTGTAATAGGATGGGGTGCTGGGGCGGAGACTGGTGGGCCGGGATGGGGTCCTGGAACCAACGGCTGGGGCCAGGCCACGGGCCTGCAGGCTCAGCTTTCGATCCCCACCCCCCCGTCCCGCCTCCTTCACATCATCCCAGCCGCCTTAGTAGGAGACCCCAGACCTATCTCTGGACAGCTCTGTTGCCCCCAGTGTTTTTTCTCGGAGCAGGTCCACCAAAGGTGTGACCGTGGCAGCTGGCTTCACGGGGCAGGGGGTGGGGACCAGCGGCAGCCCGGGGCGCAGCCTCCATCCTCCAACCCTCTCACCAACTCCGACACCAGCCGTCCCCACCACGGCACTCAGCTGCTCTGACGGGTTTGATAATTCATTGTAACCACCACACACAACTCACAGATCATACTCATGATTATGGGGCTTATTGGGGAAGTAACAGGCTCTGATTGCACATTGGGAACACTCAGGATACAGTTCTTCAGTCTGGACAGCCTCCCAGGCCATGCTCCCTGGGCACGCCTCTGGGTGGCCCTCGGCCCCATGGCCTGGCCTGGCCTCTGCTCCACTCGGGCAAGTGTTAAAAAGCTCACGCTCCGCCCATGAGCCTGGGCTGAAGCCACCGTGCTCTCACCGCCTAGTTCCAGAAGTCCACTGTGCTATCCGCTGCCTCAGCAAAGTGCCACAGTTTTCTGTCTCCTGGGTCTGGGAGGTTCAGCCCAGGGATCTGGGGTCCAAGGACATACTTCACTCCTGGCTCTTCTTTCTTGATGGTAGTGAGACCCCCTTTTCTGCCCCTGGGAGGGCTCATTTTAAGCATAGTGAGATGACAATACTGACCACTCCTCACGTTAGGGTTCCATACACCTTATTAGCATGGTCCCACCCCACAAGTGTGCCATGCAAGCTATCCATTCCCCTTGGTGGACCACAAGCCTACCATTTGCATGGTCCCACCCAGTCATTGGTGGGCGTTAACAGAGACCAGCTGGAAGGGCCGTGTTAAGCAATTGACAGCAGTGCAGCAATCCTGCGAGAGGAAGGACAATGGGTCATCACCCCATTTTCCATTGCAAAGTCGGGGGCTCAGGGCAGTGAAGGGTTTCCAGTCTTGGATGGCCCGGAGCTGCACAGGTGTCATTCTGCCCTTTGGAAGGCTCCAGGCTTCCCTCATTCATTCCTGTATGCTGTTCCAGGAGCAGGGGACTTGGCGTGGATGCCCCAGATGTGGCCTCCCTGCTCCATGGTACGGGGGTTCTAGTGGGAAGGACACTAGCCCAGTAATGTGATGAAGCCACAGAGGGCGAGGAGACGGTGTAGGGGTGAGGGCTGCTCTCTACACCGAGCTGCAGGAAAGCCCTCACCCTGTGGAGGTGACATTTGTGCTGGGACGTGATGGGAAGGAGCTGGCCCACTGGGGTAAGGTGGTCAAACCGGTAGGAACAGCAAGTACAAAGGCCCTGAGGTCGGAACAAGCTGGTAGGACAAACAGTTGCAGAGAGCAAAGAAGGCTGGTGGTTGGGGAAGACTGGAGGTGAGGCTGGCGAGGGAGACTGGCACTCCAGTACGGGGAAGGGCCCCGGCAGGGATTGTCGCCGGCCCAAGGGGCAGGCCAGGGTGGCTGGAAAAGATGCAGGGCATTCACAGGAGAGCCTGAGGCCACACCTCACTGGGGGGCATCCCTGTTTCCTTTCACCTTCCTTTCTGTCCCTGGCACTCATCTTGGCCCCCACTACATAGGGGGCAAGGCTGGGAACCCCACTGGCCCTTCCTCACACCTACTGTGCTGGGCCCATGCTGAGCACTTGGCACACACTACATCTTGTCCTCACTCCTGTCTCCATCTGAGGAGGGGAACATGGGGGCCTGAGGGGTGGGATCCAAACTCAGACCTGCCTGGGCCGTACGCGGCTGTGTTCTGGGAAGACGGGTGGATTGGACCTGGTCCTGACTCTCCTGGCCTTGGTTTCCCTATCCCTGAAAACCAGAGGGTGAACTTGGTCAGTGCTTCTCCACCCTTCAGACCTGACATCCTTTTAGAACAATTACAGCAGCCCCAGGACCGTCCGACAGGTGAGTTCGCAGGCACCACCACCTGTCTATGCAGTGTTTCACTGGCCAGTGACGGATGGTTTGGAGTCTCCTGGCATTTACAACGTCAAGTTCCAGCTGTGATAGAACACAGCAGGAAAGGAAATGACTTTATAATAATATATTTCAACATGTTAATGCTGGGCCCTGATCCCCGTGGAGGTGGTGAGGCCACAAAGGGGGCACACACTTCCAGACTGAGTGCCTCCTGTGTACAGCCAGGCCCCATACATAAGCATAATCTTAACTTCTCAACTTGCCTAAATGCAGGGCCAGGGACTGTGGCAACCCCAAATGCCACCGACTCCCGGTCCTGTGACTGGGGACATGGTTTTCTGAGATGGTCAATTTTCTAACAAAGCTAGACTCAGTTCCCTCAGTTAAAACACAGCCACTTTCCTGGACGTTCATTGTAAGTTCACAGCAGCAAAGAGCCCTGCGGGTGTGTGCCACTACTGGTCTCCACGTCCGGAGCAAAGAAGAGTGAAGAAAATCAAAGATGCAGGAAAATCAAAGATGTGGGACTGCAAAGTTGCAGTCCAAAGGATGAATGGACCACAGGAGCCCCAGCTGCCACGACCCTGACACCAGAGGAACTAGACGGTGTCCGGCTACCGCTGCTGACAGCTCTGATAGGGACCACAGTGGAAAGTACTGGATAGAGTGGGAGAGAAATACGAAACAAAAACGCAAAATCATAAAAATGATCAGGCTACTGGTCTGACAAGAGACTGGTAGAACCCGTGAGACAATGGCACTTGAAAGAGTTCCTTCGCAGTTGACTTTCCCAATGCTACACGTCGTCTAATGTCCTGACTGCTGCGTCTGTTGGCATCGATTGTAGAACCAAGCAACGTGAATTCTTTGACAACCTCATTCTTCTCTCCATTTATTGTGATGCTGCTCATTGGTCCAGTTGTGAGGATTTTTGTTTTCTTTATATTGAGACGTAATCCATACTGCAGACTGTGTTCTTCAATCTTCATCAGTAAGTGCCTTAAATCATCCTCACTTTCAGCAAGCAAAGTTGTATCGTCTGCGTATCTCAGGTTGTTAATGACTCTTCTCCAATCCTGACGCCACGTTTTTCTTCATAT